AGCGAACCAATGATTCACTCAATTGAGTTAAACTCAAACCAATTATTTTTATTTGAAAAATACGCATGAAAACCTAATATAAAAATGTTCAGCGTAAAAACCAAATGTATACAAATTGCGAGTGAAAATAAAATAAGTCGAGTTATTTTACTTTTATTCCGATTTCAAAGATATTTGGTTTTTACGCTAAGATTTTCTCCGTTTGTATTTTGAGCAAAATATATTTGTATTCGGGTTTCGCTCAAAGATCTCATCGATTTAAGAATTTCATTTAATTCCATGGATTTTTGTACGTCCTTATTTAATTTGCCGCTGTTGCCTTTATTTAATTTGCTTGCACAATTTTTTAAAGGAATCTTTAGGAATTTGTTGCATTGCTTTCAAGACGGCATATAGTTTTGCATGGTTCGGTGATTGTCGGCGCTCAACACTTCCTTGCAAAATCCTATAGACAATACATTGTGTACAAATATAGAACATTTTTTAATATGCAAATATTGGCAGTAACTCATGCAGCTTTCAAGAACTTACAATGAATGATCCGGACCAAAATAGACGGAATACCCTGACTTGGCATCAAGTTTACGTGGATGATGATATCCACTTATAAACACACACACATATCCATCAAATCGCTGTAAAAAATCGTGTTCACCATACTTAACGAGTTTGTGTGATGAGAGTAAATAATTTTCATCTTTTAGAACTCTGACACAATCGATATGTGGATATGGCTGGAGATTTCGTCTTCGTAGACCCAATTTTGGTTTCTAAGATCGCATAAATAATATTCATGGTTAACAACCGAATTACTGTTACTGGCACAATAGTTAATAGATACTACCTTTTGCAGTCGTGAATCCAACGATGGAGGCAATGATGAACCATCATTGGATTCACGACTGCAAAAGGCAGCTTTTTGATTCGGGCTTATGCTTAGCACCGGTCTATGATTTATTATTTGGATTTTCGGGAGCGCAGACCTAAAAATAACAAAAATGATTTTTTATGTATCACATAATAACATTTTCATTCGACAATTTATAGAATATTTAATTGCTTACAATTTATTCAACGTTGAAAACAATCGTCTACAAATATTCATCTTCATTTTTATTTTAAATTAAATAGAATTCAGAATTTCACAATGGTTTTTTTTATTACAATGATCTTCATGCGGTTTTAAATGACAATGCTTTGACATATATGCACAGTGCACACATTCAATAGCTCTCGTTCAAATGAAGTACTGGTTCTCGTTCAAATTATGTACCGTATTTACATCGACCGAATGTCAAATTTGGTAATTTGTCAAATAACATATCTGACAGCTGTCAGTTGGCCATGAGGTTAAGTCAGTGTCATTTGGCTCAAGTTTTAATAAGAATATTCAATATTTTTTCTAAGGTTTGTTGTTTAGTAAGGTTTGAATGAAAGAAAATGTTGAGAACAATGTTATTGTCAACGCGAATTCAAGTATCTTCAAAATGGAACGTTATACATGCTGTATCAAGTCAGTTACGTTTCTATTATAAGAATCCCTATGAGGTACAACAGTGGATATCTACGCTGGATGAGGCACAACAACAACGTATTAGGTTCTTTCAAAATGAAGTAATTATCTGTGACAATTTTCGTGTTTTTATTTCGAAAATTAATATTATTTCAATTTTAGGTTGAATTGAAACGTGATCAAGGTGAAAGTGTGCCAACAATAGAACAACTCACCATTGAAAACTACCAACATCTTATGAATTCATCACATAATCAACGTATAAAATATTACAACTATTTAAATAAAAGGGAAACATCAATCGCCGTCACTTTTGTATGTACAAATTAACTAAATGAACAAAATATATCACAGAGAAAAAAAATTGTACAAAAATAAAACACTCTCAATTCCATTCATAGAAAAAAGATAATATCCGGAAAAAACTTCATGAAGAAAAAATTTCAATGGGTGTATTTGACGAAAAAAAACCAGAAGGTGATCAAAAACACATCGAATATGGACTTGGCAAAATATCTTTAATACCAAAAATTTACGACCGAGCAATTGACAGATGGAGAAATATGCGGTAAATTTGTTGTGAATTTTCTACTGATTCAATATTTAAAATAAAAAAAAAAAAACATTTATTACAGAACATTGTGGCGTGAACATTTGGGCGCCCCAAAACTGATATACGATTGTAGTTATTCACACTACATGACGCGGCGTGAAAATCAAGAAGCGGCTAACCAATTGGCACTGGCCTTTGGAAATAATCGTCGACATCTTCAGCCATACGCGCTTAACTTTTGTGGCATGGACAAACAAAGTATGCTATGGTCATTACTTTTAAAGAAAATCCCAACAATTACTACTAAACCGCTACCACTCCGAATACACGAAGCTGACGCATCGGAAGTTTTTCCGAAAGAAAAACTCGTCATACTCACGCCCAATTCACCAAACCTATTGAGAGAGTACAATAACGATGATTATTACGTAATTAGCGGCATTGTTGATCGCGGTGATCAAAAACCGTTATCAATTGCTAAAGCAAAAGAATTGAATATTCGTCATGCACGTCTTCCCTTGGAACAGTATCGTAGATGTCGAATGAATAAAGCATTGACATTAGATCAAATGATGAGCATAATGCTTGAATTAAAAAGAACACGCGATTGGAATAAAGCATTTGATTTTGCTGCAGGACGCAAATTTTACTAGTTTTACTAGCAAGTAAAAAAATGATAATTTTTAGTAAAAATATCCAATAAAGTCATTATAAGCATTTTTGCATGAATGTACTTTTGATTTAAGTTTGAATTTCAAAATAAAATTGTGTTATATTAAATGTAAAACTTGATTATTAATCCAATCTTATGAAGTATGTATGTGAAGTTGGTCTAATTGCAAAACAGAAGTTCTAAATCATTTCAATTTTACCGCCTCCAATGCTGTGAGCAACTGTGTGTTGTGGATCTGTGTGTTGTTTGAAATGTGACAGTTCAAATGTGTGTGCGTTTTTTTTTTAAATAATCAAATTACCTATGCTTACATAAAAGCCTAAAGGATTTTCAAATTGAATGTATTTATTTTTTCATTTTGTAGAATTAAAACAAAATAATTAAAATACCACATTTAAAAAAATGTCCAACTGCATTTGCAATAACCGCCCCGCCATCAACAGTCAAAAGTACTCCAGTGAGATGCGAAGCAGCCACTGCGTTACCAATTCTACCAAGAGGAGCCAATTTTTCCATAGAACCAAAATATTCCTTTCCTTGCTGTGGTGTCATACCAAATCCGGTTTCAACTATTGGGATACGAATGTGAGCGGGATTGAT